ATTCTGATTTATTATCTGACTTTGTTTTATGCACTGAGTTAACGCCGCATTTTTTGCTCCATTTAACGTAACCAAGAAGAAAGGAGTACTCATCACTTTTTGCGCATATATCTTTAGCCGTCAAAATTTCAGGAGGTTTTCGCGTGCATGATAAAGAATTTGTTCGAGGAATATCGATTTTTTGGTCAATATCCAGAGAAAGAACTTCATACAACTGCTCAATTGTTCGGCGGTGTAATTCGTGAGAATTTGGTCAGGTAACACCACTGCAGGTTCGAAGTTATGCTGTAATTTAATGAAAACTTCTGTCTCTAGCGGCATGCCAATTCTCTTTGCTCTGAGGGTTGTGATGGACACATTGCGCAAGGAACCTGGTTCGAAATTGCATGACTTTGGCATTACTGCGATTGACCAATTCAAAACCCGACTGAAGGACTATCAGCGTTATTGCCAGGCCGTTATGTCGCAGGTGTTGCACTTTGGTCAATTTCCACGCAATCTTATTCAGGTAATAGCCAGTTTTCCAAAGTGCTTCAAAATTCAAGCAACGCTGCTTTATATGTTTCAGTATTATAATGCTGTTAATGATAATCTTCATTACGAGTGATTTTTTGTAAAGCGACTTAGTCACTCGGCTTCAGTCTAAAAGGCATTTTATCCCAAAACAAGTTTACAATTTGTTAACGTATCTGCAGTTTTGCACATTTTTTCAGAAAGGTAATATTTCACTCAGCTAAGTCAGTACTTTTTGCCACTGTATTATTATTCCAGTGGTGTGGCTTTAATGTGTCACAAAGTTTCAACGACTGACTGTTTCTAGTACATTCAGTACGGTGCGCGCGGCGAAGAGCCTCCTTCTCATGTACTTACAAACGAGCCTACCGTCCCACCGCAGCTCCCTTCTCTCAGCAGTATGTTGGGCCACGTGACACAACTCTCTTCTCTGCACAGCGTGCCTTTACCATCGGTGTCGTCAACCGCGCCATCAGGCACCAGTGTCGTTGTCGCTGCTCAGCCTTCCTCTCACATGTCATCGACGGATTCGTTGAAGCCTAAGGTATGAAGGTGTGTCTATGTTTTGTTCATTGTTGTACATTCCAGCTTTAGCCAACATTGACCGCAACTAACATTGATACCCTTGTCAGTGCTACTGAAAAGGAAGAAAGCAAAGTTCTGGTGCCTCCTGAATCTACCCACGAAAAGGTGGCGTTTCTGTTCAACAATCTCAGTCAAGCAAATCTACCACAGAAGGTTTGGATATTGCATGTTTGATTTCATCGGAAGTCGTCTTTCTAGGTGTCTGAAATGAAAGAACTTTTGGTTGATGACCAGTACTTGCCATGGTTAGCTCAGTATCTCGTTATGAAGCGCGTAAGTGCCGAATCCAACTTTCACAACTTGTATTCAAATTTCGTTACCGCAATGGGCAACAGGACGTTTAACTCATTGATTTTATTGGAGACTTACAGGAATATCAAAGTAAGTTTCATGAAAAATTTTGCGTCTAAACTTTGCTTTAGATATTACTTCGATGCGACAAAGTTATGGCGAACTTTTCTGATCGAACATTGTTGAAAAATCTAGGACACTGGTTAGGATTAATTACAGTTGGCCAGAATAGGCCTATTCTACAACGGGTATTTTGTTTTTGTGATCATAAATTGCTTGTTTTTACCAGACTGATGTAGGACCTCGATCTTAAGACGTTGCTTTTCGAAGCATTTTGGAAAGGCCAACAAGAGCTGCTTTACGTAGTTCCGTTTGTTGCAAAAATAATGGAATCCTGTCAGAAGAGCAAGGTAATTGTGGTTCCTTGTTGATTCGACGCTCTTTCTCAAACTGTTTTTAAGGGCTTTAAACCGCCGTCGCCATGGA